ACGAGTAAAACCAGAGCACCGGGACCCCGGGGTCGGCTTATCAGTTTCCCAACCGTATCTCTACCAGAGTAGAGGCAGAGACTGCTATTAGAAGTCCTACTAGTAGAAGAGAGACTGCACCAGTCCACGACTAAAGCCCACAAGCCCGTGCCATCTGGAGGTGACAGAAGTTACTTGCAAGTACGCTGGCTGATGTGAAAGGTCAGTTCTGCAAAATCAAATATATGTATTGAGAACTGTCCGTATATTTTACCTACATTTAATTTTCCAACATTTATTTGACTTTCCTCGTTGACACGTTACAGTGGTTTCAGTGGACAACCTGGGGACCCACCAGTCTGTGTGTTCTGCTCGGCGCAGATGCCATCGTCACCAGATGATGCTGTGACATTTATCTGATTGTCACATTTCAAATAATCATAATACTTGTCCACCACGTGGGAGTTACTGATAGTTTTTTTTCTCCTACTGTTGTATCAGAGTTAAGGAATGTTGCTTTTTTTTAATCTAACTTATCAATTTCTTGGTTTTACTAAGGTGTGTAATACTTCATGCATTATCAGAAAAACTTCAAAAAGAAAACAGATCAGTGCTCTGCTTTTCTGAATCACACTCCTTCCCACAGGCAATACTTTATTTCCAGATTCGGATTCAAGTGATTTTTCTTGATGGGGCAATAAAGAGTCAAACATCTAGAATTGAAACTAAATTTGAATTTTGAAACACACAGAGCTACTTCCGGTTTTCAAAATCCTAGTGTTTTCCTGGGGGCGCCTGGGGGCTCAATTGGTTGAGCATCTGCCTTTGGCTCAGGTCATGGTCCCGGGGTCCTGGGTTCGAGCCCCGTGTTGGGCTCCCTGCTCAGCGGGGAGTCTGCTTCTCCCTCTGCTGCTTTCTTGCTTGTGCTCCCTCTTGCTCACTTTCTCTGTCAAATGAATAAATAAAATCTTAAATAAAAAAAAAAAACTAGTGTTTTCCTAGGAAATAGAAAAATTGGTCGATAACTGAAAATGCCTAAATTTGTTCTTCTCACACCATACCGTTCCTGGGAGAGGCTCCGGGGGTAGCAAACGCTCAGGGAAGTGTTCAGATGCTACTGACTTAGGAGTCTTGTTCCCCAGCAGGAAGATAATTATCGCTTCTGGACTGCTTCACCCGGACCTCACGAGCCTGAGGACTCAACACTCCTGACACTCAGGACCCAAAAGGCTTCTATTCTTATGACCTCTATCTACTGATGTTAACCTTACTAGAAATTTAAGATAGAGCTTCAGAAAAAAATGGGTATTATTACAGTTCAAAATGACAATAAGCCCGTTATATTAATAATATACCCACTATGTCAGGCGCCTGGCTAGCTCAGCCAGAAGAGCACAAGACTCTTGATTGCAGGATGGTGAGTGTGAGCCCTACCTTGGGTGTAGAGATAACTGAAAATGAATAAATAAACTTAAAAAAAAAATACACCCAGGAGCACCTGGGTGGCTCAGTTGGTGAAGCCTCTGCCTTCGGCTCAGATCATGATCCCAGGGTCCTGGGTTCAAGTCCCGCATCGGGCTCCCTGCTCAGCGGGGAGTCTGCTTCCCCCTCTGCCTCTGCTCCTCCCCGCATTTCTGCACATGCGCTCTCTGATAAATAAATAAAACCTTAAAAAAAACACAACCATTGCATTAACATATTTTTAATGAAAATCACAGAGATGAGGGGTGGGCTGTGCTAGGTTCTTGGCGATCGCAGGTCCGCAGCCCCAGAACGTCACTGTGCGTCCGTGGTAGCAAGATTTAAGCACAGTGTCCTGGATTATTACCAAAGTCGACGCTGAGAGGGTCTCGCGGACCCCCAGGCACTCAGCGTCGCTCCACCACCTGCCGTGTGGCACAAGGAGCCCTACGCTCCGCGCGGCTGACCACGAAGGTGGCTGGGAGGGCTGTTCTCCTCCGACAGCAAAACGTAATGCTGGGCTCTCTCTCGTCAGCCTGCAAAAAAGTGAAGCAAGTTGTGCAGCAAGACAAGACACAAACTCTTCTATTAAAGATGCTACACTGTAAGTTTACGTCATACCCTTCTCCGCGGAGCTCAGGCTGTTTAGGTACGTGGAGCACGCGGCATCGTGGCAGGGTCTCTCTGTCTCACAGCGAGCGTGCGGAGCTCACGGGCTACGGGGGGCCTGCGGGGGTGAGGCCGAAGGCGCCGAGTCAGGCACCCAAGCAGTCACACAGCTCAGAGCTTCGCAGCACGGGAGCCCGCGGCGTGGCCAGCAACCCCAGGCGGGCCCGAGGTGCCCGGGGGCCGTGGTGCTGAGCTCTGCTGGCTGGGGCCGCTTCCCGGGGGGCTCGCGGCCGGGTTAGCTGCCGCCGCTGTCACACAAAGGGCCACAGTGAGACTTGCTCCTCACCCCAAGACACAGCTTGCTACCAGCTTCAGTGATTCACAGGAAGGCAGGGACAGGGCCCGACAGGCCGGCCTGGGCGGCGCGCGGAGAGCGAGGCGGGCAGTGCGGCCGGCGCAGACCACACAGCCACCCCCACGGGCCTCTGGCGGTGTCGGTCCACAGCCCAGCAAGGCAGCGGCAGCCACAGCTTCCCGGCGGCTCTGTGAGAGCAGCGGCGCTTGCGACGACCTCCGGACGTTTTCACGGCGGCGGGTACACCAGGAGGTGATCTGACATTTCAAGAGACGAACAGAAGGCGCGGTCTGCCTTCGCCTTGCCGACTCTCGGGACAGCCCTTTCCCCAGATCCCCAAAGGATCCCCCTGGCCCCCGACACTTGCAGGGCCCACCATTCCCCCCGGCTGCAGGTCTGGACACACCCGCCACTGTCGCCGCCCAGATCCAGGAGGTGGTCGGAAGCCCCGTGGTGACAGCAGACTGGCCCGAGCTCGCACACGTCCTCCGGGGGCACCCAGACGCCCTCACGTCCAAGGTCTCCCGAGACGTGTGCAAAAGCCTTCCAAGCGGACGCCTGCGGCCTCTTCTCCGTCTGTAGCCGGTGCCTCATGCCCAGCACGGCTCCCCTCTCCTCCCCGCCCCGGGAAGGCCCGCCGGGCCGAGCAGAACCTCAGCTTTCTTCAGCTGGAGGCGACACGGAGGGAAGGCCCTAACCCACGCGTGCACAGCGACACCGGTGTGGAGCCAGCCGCCCCGCGCTTGGTCGGTGACGGAGCCGCTGACAAGCCCAGCCAGGGACCCACGCTAGCTTGTTCCCCTCCTCCAACACCTCCAACACCCGCCCCGGCCTTCAACCTCCACTGTTCACGCGCAGACTGTAATGTTCCGGGGACCCTGTGAGGGGCGGCCAGAGCGGCGAGCAGAGCAACACTGAGCTCTGCAGACGGCGTGGGGCAGCCAGGGAGTCGTGCAGCCCCCAGAGCGCATCTGTGGGCCCGGCCGTGACCCGTGGCACAAACTGCTCTCGGGGATGTGGAGTGGGCAGGCGGGGTGTGCTGCCCGCCAGCCGCCGACCTGCATGCTGTGACCGGAGAGGGTGCAGGGGGCGGGGGGCAAAGGAGGGGGCCCCTCTCACACACCCCTCCTGAGGACGTGAGTGTGGGGGAGGCGGCCTGACCTGAGCTCTCCCGTGATCAGTGAGATTCCCCACAGCACCCACCAGCCAGGGCCTGGCCCACGCTGCACGCACTGGTCCCACTCGCCGCAGAGGCTCCGAAGCCCACACCATGTCCATCCTCCCCTGGCCGGGGGGATGCCAGGACCAGGCTGGTCCCCTCTAGACAGAACCTGCTCGCCGCCAGTGGACATCGCGGGCTCAGCAAGTGCACAAACGCCACGCCAGGCACAGAACACGAGCTCGCCCAGCTCCCGAGAACACCGGCCTCTGCTGCCACAGGCGCTGGGACGAAGGCCCATGGAGGGCCACAGGCTTTCTCCTCTGTCCTCGGGCTGCATCCCTGCCCCCACAGAGACATCTTTACGAGAGCTCGGCACCCGGCTCTGGGACCCCTGCGTGGGTGGGCGACACGGGTTTCCACTGAGTTCTGCGTCCCCACAGTTCTACTCGGGCGCTCCCCCGGGTGCCTCCTCCCGCCGGTCCAGCCCCATCCACTTCCCGCTAAGCATCACGTCAGGGCCTGGCTTGGCTCTTCTGGCTCAGGACACACACACCATGGTGTGGGCCACCTGGATGGATCCACCTCTCCGACCCGGGAGGACCCCTCCCTTTGGGCTGGCTGAACCCTACACCTACCAGCAAAGCAGGATGAAAGGTCAGGAAGTCAAAGCACCCCGGTCCCCAAAACAAAGTCCCTGGTAGCACTGAAATGACAGAGACATTTCATCCTCCTCGATCTCGGGGCAAGGCTTCCGCGGCGTGCACCAGGGCTGTGAGGACCCCTCCGGGCAGGCGCCTCGGCCTGCCTGACCCTAGAGGGCACAGGAGGTCCAGGGCCGGGCTGTGGAGGCGCTCCTGGGGGGATGTTGTCGCCTACACCCTGAACGACACCCTTATCACGGCCTTCACCACGACACGATGATCATCTGCAAATGTGTACTCGGGAGCACGAGGACAGAGACAGGATCTTCCTCATTTTTCTACAGAAAAACTGCACGGTGCCAGGACAAAATCAATGTGTCCCCACCTGACACACGATAAATTTCACCCAGAAAATACAATTTTTCCAAGTGTGGGTTTATTTCAAAATTGTAAAGATTTATATATTATTTTTTATTACATATAATAAGCAGTTTTTAGTTTAAAGTAAAAACTTTCACATTTAAAAATTTAAAAAAAGAAAAAAGTAGGCATTTTTAAAGAGCCAAAAAAGCTTAGAACATAGGTTTATCCTTAAATATTCACATCTTAAATGCTACTTAGAAAGGATTAAAAAACTCACTAAAAATCATTTACAATTGGCAATGATTAAAAACGCCTTATTTGGGGGAAGAACACGTTAATGACACGTAATGACTTTCACGCTACATTTAACAGTTTAATCAAACCAGTACACACGATGGTCTTCACCTGTCGAAGCGGCTGTTTGGGGAAGTGAACAGAAGAGCAACTCTCCAATGCTTTCTTCAAAGAGTCGCTGATTTTCAGCTTAAGAGAGAAGAACAGCATTTAATTACCGCATCCCTGGTGGGAAAGAAAAGAGAGAAAACAACGTAACAATCGGCCTTAAATAAGACGATGTTGGAGAAAACGTTCCTGCCGAGAGACAAACGCACGGTCGTCTCTTTACACCCGGAGCCACTTAACACTCCCCAACGATAACTCTGCTGGGTGTTGCCTGAACTCAGGAACCGAATCTTGAAAATAATGTTTCAAGGTCCATCGACTTTCGTTCCTCCTTCCTAGCACATACGCTAACCTCAGTATAAACAAGTGCAAACACCAGAGATACCCTAACAAAAGAAGGTTTAAAGAAATAATGAAGCAGATTTTAAAAAGCAGAATGTCTGTAACGACATCCTCAGAATTCCAAAGAAATATTCACGTTGACTTCCTTTGCCCACACTTTCTTGCCAAAGCGGTTTGTTTCAACTATGACTCGTTTTCATTCACTTGCAGTCACTCTCTGTGTGACTGTCAGAAGCGCGGCGATGAGCTGGGATTCTGAGCACACTCTGTGTGCGGCCCCCAAAGGCAGGGGTGGGGCGTGGCTTTGAGCTGCCGCGGCTTCCAGCTCAGGCTCACCGGGCTGGACATCACTTCTAGGCAACCCTTCCCCGAGCTGAGAGGCGGCGCCCCACCGCCCAGCTGGGGTCCTGAGGACAGACGCTCGCCTGCAGTCTCTCGTTCCATAGCCTGCCCACCTGGAGTTGACCGTGGTCTGCTTGTCCTCCTGGTAAGCACTCATCAAACAGAAGCGGCCATTTGAAATGGGGTAAAAATAGAATTTCTACAATCTCCTTCCTTGCTCACATGAGGCATACAATTTTGCTGTTTCCTATGTAACCTGTTTCCAGATTTTACAAAGAAATGAAGCTGTTCCTCAACAGAGTTTTCTTCCGAACTGGTCAGGTGCAAGACTACGGTGAGTTTTGTTTTTCTTCCACAACTGAATGAGGACGTTTCCCGGGAAGAATGTAACAAGACGGCGATTCCTCTTGACATAGCGAGTAAGTATGTTTCTGCCGGCTTAAACGCTTACGTATCCCATGTCTGTTCACTACCTCACTTCATCTTCAACGCAGAATTTGTTTTGCTGGTGTCTCTACGTCCCACGTCCCGAGTGCGTGCGTCACGGAACCATTAGCAATTTCCTACCTGCAAAGGCCCAGGTGGCAAAAACAGCCCCAGCCCGCCTGCTGCATGTGTTCCAAGTGGTCTCACTGTATGGCAGACTTCTACTCATTTAAAAAATAATTTCTTTGGGGGAAAAAAGTCAAAGTTCACAAAAAAAAAAAAAAAAACCCAAAACAGCCTTTTACATCACATTTTAATGTGCATCTGCTAAAATCCGCGTATTTGTGCAGAGATCATTAGAGGACCAGAAACAGCAGCCTCACCTTGCATATGGGATGTAGGACAGGCTGTACCTGCAAGAAAGGTTCACAGATGTTGAGACCGTCTGCACACCATTCCTCTGAGAGCCAAGGGGCCCTACTGCCACACCTCAGAAAATACGGCTACAGGACACTGTGCGGCAATCCTCCCAGTAGGACCCCAGACCCTCAGACAGGCAGGAACAGCATCGGCCAAGCACGAATTAAAGATGCAAATGCCTGTGCCCCACCCCCCAACTCCTGCACGAACCCTCCGGGCCCCTGCCGAAGTCTGACCTGGGGATACTAGAAATGACCCTGGTGTTGTTTTAGTAAAAACCGTAAGATAACTGGGGATAAACTGCATTCTCCCTTAGGGAGTAAGGTCATTAAGTACCGCTGAGGCAATAGAAAAAGCAACATATTACAGAAAAAGCCATGGAATCTGGCTGAAACCAGCCACGGTTCACGGAAACAGCGAGCCCACAGGTGCAGAAGCGCAAGCGGCCCCCGATGGGGCCCCAGCCATCGGTGGAGGGAGACCCGGGGCCAGAGCGGAGACTGCTCTCAGGGGGACGGAAGACAGCCACTCGGGGGCAACGGGCGGACTCTTGGTGGGAGCAGACAAGGAGCTCTAGTGAGAAGGGGACGGACTCCAGAAACGCCCGTGTCAGGAAGGACACGGAGGTATGTGGGGTGGGGCTCATCCAATTCGATACCCAGTGGGACTGGGTGCTTGCTGGAGCGGCACGTGAGCAGGGCACAGGGGTGCCACGGAGCGCGCCTAGAAGGGGGCCGGGGACACGCCAGCAGCAGGATCTACAGCTTCTGCGGCTGACTTCCCGAGCCACCTAAACGTGGGTTTTTTGTTTTTTTTTTTTCAATAAATACTTGGGGAACTCTTTTGTTGGGGATTTGCAACCATTTGGAAAACCTTGCAGATGAACCACGTGGCCTGGGAAGCCCAGGATGAGTTGCGAAACAGGCCTGAGAAGGCGGCACGTAGGACAGAGAACACGGGCTGCTCGGCCTGGAGTCGCCAGCAGCCTCTCCGTGGGGGGCTCTGGGCAGTCAAAGCTTACACACAGGTGTTCGACGAGGGGGGGACGAGCCCCTCAGCCCCGCGGTGGACGGCTGACCGTCCTCACTGATGAGTCCGACGGGACCGCCCCCACGCCAGGTGTGACAGGTCCCCAGTTAGCAGAAGGAAATCGACTCTAAGCATTCGGCGGTATGGCACAAAGGGCACGGTCACCAACGCCGTCCAGGGCTTCTCCCGGGACAGCCTCCCTTCTAAGGACTCCCATGGCATCGACATCGCCTTCACCCCCACCGTTTCTCTCGCACGTCGTGGGGCGAGCGCGCCAGCCCAGCAGCCCCACCGCGGCGGCCCCCACCCCTCCACAGCCCGCCCGCCGGCCGCCGCTGGGCGACCGGCGAGTCCCCAGGGACACAGCACCCATCTGACCTCGAGGGAGGCCCGGCCTCCAGGGCACAGCCTTCCCCCCGGGACAGCCTCCCGACGTGCCCAGGCTCAAAGACTCGAACAAGCTGCTCATCGCCGCTTAGGGAACCTCAACGCTCTCGTCAGGGAGACTTACCAGGTCATGGACAAGAACTGCAATACGCAGAAGAGGACGGCCAGGCCCTTCCGGTGCCACTAGCAACAGCAAAAACAGAGAAAGACACGTTAAGAGTTTTTAAAAATATTCTTCGCAAGTTCAAGTCCTCCCCTTCAAAATGCAGACAATGGCTTCGTTTACTTTAAGTTTTGGTGCAACAGTTTTTGGCGTTTTTTTTAAGATTTTTTTATGTGGGCGCCTGGGTGGCTCAGTCGTTACGCGTCGGTCTTCGGCTCAGGTCATGATCCTGGGGTCGTGGGATGGAGCCCCGCACGGGCCTCCCTGCTCAGCGGGAAGTCTGCTGCTCCTTCTCCCTCTGACCCTCCCCCTGCCCGAGCTCTCACTTTCTCTCATTCTCTCTCAACTAAATAAATCTTTATTTTAATTAGATTTAATTTAAATTTAATTAAGTTCAAATAAATTTAATTAAACTTTAAAATCTTCATTTTAAATTACCTCGGAGTCCCCGAGGTAACTGTGGGGGGGCGCATTAGGGCCCCGTGTCCAGGTCGGCGGCGCCCCCCAGCAACAGTCAGGGCCACTGTCCTCAGCAGGGCTTCCGCGCGTCACTCCTGCTCTCGCTCCTGGAGCTCGTTCCGGAAGCAAAGCTGCCCTACCGCAATCTCCCAGAATAACGTAAAACGAACAGTTTCTGCGTTAAAGTGGCCTGTCTCTGGGATTCCTTGTCCATTTGTATTTCTGTGTTCACTTCTTTATCGTCCACTGCCTACCACACAACAGCGGTTAGACCATCCCCGAGCCAGGCATCCGCGCCCCACACGGGCGTACGAGCACGGGTTAAGAGCGTTCTCTGGCGTAATCGTTGAGAAATGAGGTAGAAGCACTGTCACATAATGCAAGCTTAGTCCTCACATCCCCAAAATTAAAAAGAAAATCAGAACACTTTTGATGGAATAGTCCTAAGACATACGCTACACTACTCTTCTCTGAGGCGTGCGGTCTCTTGATAGCTCAGAACCACTGCGAATCCCTTCGGGAAGCGGACGGGGCGGTAAGTTCCTACAAGGACGACTCAGAGCCTGAGAAGCGAGAGGGACTGGGTGCCGCCGTTCCCTGCTAACAAGGAGCTATCGCCCTGCCTCAGGAGGCACAAGGCTAATTTAACTTCTGCTGCCGCCCCCCCCCCTTTAAAGTGATTTTACATCTTTTTAAAAATTAATTAAGTCATCTCGACTCCCCATGTGGGGCTCCAACTCATGACCCCGAGATCAAGCTGACGCTCCTCCAACGGAGTGAGCCAAGGGCCCCCTTTCGCCTCCTCTAGCTCATTTGTTTTGGTTTCTCATTAGTTTCAACATCTTGTGACTCAGAACGCACTCCCTCACCCGCAGCATCCTCGGCCTCAGGGTGCGGCACCGCCAGGCCAGCGAGCACAGCAGACGGAGAAAACGCCCCCAGCAGGAGCCTCTCAGGGCCTGGGAGTGGTGAGAGGAGCTGGGCCTTCTGCCCTAAAAGCGAGTCTGAACTCACCTGTCCATTCTGGACAGCAGGGTTGCTCCCCAGTCTAGCCACTAAGCTGACGTTACCGCACACCATCTCAGGGACCCCCAACCTTTGGGGGTTTTAGACACCAGACCCTGAGCTCCTCTGGGACGGCGGCATGACGACACAGGTGCGGGGCCACCGTTAGTAGAAGCCAGGCCCGGCGGGTGGAACTTACCCAAAGAGCAGCACACAGGGTAAATATGAAACAGAGCTGGAGGAAAGAAGAGAAAAACGGCAAGTGAGGGTCCTTCCGAGAGCTGACCCGCACTCGCTGGCGTGCGTCACGAAGCGAGGACCGAACCCAGGACACGGCTGCTCCAGCTGTACGGACTCAGGGCCGAGTCTGGGACTTACAGTCTAGGACTGCAGCGTTCCTGGGCAAACTACCAGCACCGAGTAAACAACCCACTGATTAAATCAACCGACGGGATGTTTGAGGACCGATACCAGCTGCTGGTTTTTCACTTCTTTTAAGTCTTGTATAACTAACATCCCGTGACCTACTGGCTTCGGGTGTACGGGACAGGGGATCGACACTGGCACGCACGACTCGGTGCTCATCACGACAGCCCGGCTCTTCATCCCCGGACGGCTGTTCTGGGGAGGGCTGACGTTCCCGTTTAGTGACAGAGTACTGCGACGGGCACTTAGCACAACCGGGAGCACCCGGAAAATTCTACTTAACTTGACATAAGGCATCTACTGTAACGATTTTCACACCGAAGATGACACCATCACTCCATGTCCCTGTGTCCCTCGAGGAAGCAGAGGAGTGACGGCAACAATGACAAGCAGGAGGCTGACAGGCACAGGCGTGACATCCTGACACTCTGGGTGTCCAATCAGTCGTCTGCTCTCACCTTCAGTTCTCTTCTCTTGAAAATGAGGACGGGGTCCGCCGACCTGCTCTAGAGCACGACGGCGGTGAGCGGATCAGAACCTGTCGTGGGCCCGCGTGAGGGGCCGACACTGAGAAGATGCGCAAGTGCCAGTCGCCGCTTCACTGTCACGACTTGGCATGAATGACGTCAGCAGCAAACCTGAGCACGCAGGACACTTGGCTGGAAACGTCATGACTCAGGTCACCACCAAAGTTACGTCCTGTTAACACTTAATGGTCTCTCCTGGGAAATAGTCTGTATCTCTTTTTTTTTTTTTTTTACTTTATTAAAATACTGAGTTTATTTCACATGTATATTTTTGTCTCCCCACCATTTCCATTTTTCTGACCACCCCTTTTTTTTTTTTTTTTTTTTTTTTTTACTAATAGTCTGTATCTCTGAATGTCTGAACAGCCTTCCTGGCCTTCTGCTTATCTGTGTAGAGAACGTCACTAAGACGGCTTCCAGGAGATCCGAAACAAAGCCCATCTCCACAAACTCCGAGTAAAATACAAACGTCTCCCCGTCTGACAGCACCGGCTTCGGTAACCCACACGAAGCTGAGTTTTAATATGTTGCTATGCGTGTTAATACAGGAAACTGAAAGTAACTGGAAAAATTAGAAAAATGGTAATAAAATATGATGAAGTTGAATAAGGACGAGAATGAAAAGTCAGGCTAAAAAGGACTTCCTTTCCTCTGGTGCGGAGGTGGGCGAGCCTCCCTCGCATCATGGCTGAGGCCACTCCTGACCACACACCCGCCGGCAGTGGCTGTTTCAAAGCCTCCTGGCGTTACCAGGACACACGAGCTGATGCTGACCCCTAAGCTCAAGAGCTTGAAGAGAAATCTGCGAGAGACACAGACAAGTCCACCAGGAGCCGGACGCTCACTGGACAGAGGGAGCCAAGATCAGCCAAGAAGCCAAAATGCGTGACGTGCAAACCTCCTAACCACAAGCCCATGCCTGCCCCGGTTCCAACACAGATCCCGAATTTAAGAGCGAGGACCTGACGGCCGTGCACGAGACCCAGCAGGTGATGAATGGCATCCTGAAAGGCACGGCTCAGAGGCCGCGCTGCCAGGACTAAACAGTCACACGGGGAAGGGACAGAAGCCAGACGACAGGCTACCTGGAGAAGCCAAGCATCCCTGAGAGAAGAGACGGACGGCCTCTGGGGAGCCCTGTGTCCCAGCCGCCCCCTCTGAAGAGCACACACGGGCCTCCATCATGAGGCACTCTCTGGGGCGGGAAAGGGCCAGCTCCACAGTAAACACTCAGAGCTCCGACGGTAGGTACATGCGACAGAGAGGAGCACTGTGCAAGTCAGTCGATGGAAGTAACGCCGGCTCCTCTGACTCCTGAGCGCACAGCAGAAGGCAGGGTCATTACACGCAGTAAGAGAAATTTCAGAGTACGCATATAAAAGCAAGCAATCATCTGCAAGATAATAATGCAAAAGCCCCTTCTCTAAGTTTGAATTTGCATCATCTACTTACAAGCATAATAACGGTCGCGAGCAACCTTGTTGTTTCAAACATCTTCTTCAGCTGCTTCACGGGTCCCATTAGAAAGCAGGTACTTAAAAAAGAGAACAAAGTACGTACCATTTGAAACAAACAGGAGAACCAAGGCATGAATCTACTACTTTGGCTACATAAACATAAACCCTTTAAACAAAAGACATCTTACATTGGTTTACTAAAAACAATCTCTCACTAAATCAGTTATATTTTTCCTTAACATTAAAAGTAAACTTTCTTTAAAAGCTTAATACTTTATTTTTTTAACGAAGCTCTAGGCCCAACATGGGCTTGAACTCGTGGCCCCCAGATCAAGAGTCACATGGTCTACCGATGCAGCCCGCCCGAAGCCCCAGAGAGGAGCCTGACTCCGGCGTCCGCGGACACAGCACGATCTCTCACAAGGTCTCCCGAGGGTGACTTCTAGCTCCCGCTGAACGCAATGCCGAGGCCATCCGTGCCCACAGGTTGTCTGCTCCCGATCTGAGCCCATTCAGGCACTGGCCCTCCTCACCCCTGCATGCTACCGACCAGAACACTACACGACCCCCGAAAAACGGTCAGCGGGAAGCCCCCAACAGCAACACGACCTAAAACCGCTGAGCTGGGCTCTGCTCCACTGGGAGCCTGAAGGAGCAGCTCTGCAGGCTCGAGCCCGGAAAGCCCCGAGCTTGGCCTCGGCTCTCGCAGGTTCACCTGACTACCCCCGATCCAGAAAACTCCTGAGGAGACAGAAGGTCACCTCCGAAAACTCAGTGTACACAAACCCAGAACAACTTCTCTGGCACACGTCAACACAACCAAACTGGGCACCGAGATCCTCAGAGGGGGTTTCCCACGCCCAATCCCACATGCTCCGGGCGGGCTGGCGCCCCTTGCCCTCTGATCTCCCCACTCAGCACCACGCCCGGAGGACCTCCAGTCCGGCCCTAGCCCTCCGAGACGGTGCTTCCCACGCAGGGACCAGAGCGCAGCCCCAGGGGCCGGGGTCTGGAGGACGGTCTGGTAGAGAGCCTGGCAGTCACCTTACTGGACACATCACGGGGTGGTGACTCACCCTCTCTGGGCCATAAAGTGGGGGTGATAACAGTGCCCACCTCAGACACCGGGGTAGCAGACGGAAGCACTTACAAGTGCCCCGAAGGCTGGCTATTCCCACCGTGCCCACGCCACGACGCCCCTGGCCCACGGCAGGAGTCCACGAGCATTTATCGAACCAACATCGGTCTCGTGGCTCCAGAAGCCGTGCCACTCAGGCGGTGTCTCCTGGAAAGGCTGGCGCCAGCACAGCAGACCCGGAGGAGCCCGACTTCTGTACACACCTGGCGAGCGCGGCGAGATTTCCAAAGGTATAAAACACCGCAAACAGCTTTATGCCACCAGGAAGCCACAGCAATCCGGTTCCCTGAGTTCAAATATATTTCGAAAGTTTTACCATTATAACAGCGTAAAATATAACCACGCTAAGTAAAAATGATATGATTATACAATAAACTATAGTTTAAGTACAAATGTGCTAGCCGAGTCTCTACTTACGTCATTTTAAAGACAGTTAATGGTCATTGTTATTTGCCAAGTGGACTCTTCTGGCTGTTTTGCATACGAGTATCCACAACTTACCCATAACGGAACCTTCCCTACACGTGTGCGTGCATCTCACCCTATGTAAAGTAATATTCTTTATACACAGCGAGTTAAACAGTTAACACGTTTCAATTCCTGGCTCTGCAGCTTTCTACACACACTGATCTTTCTTAAAAAAAATTATTTTCACAACCTGTAACCCCCCACCCCCAGCAAATACTAATTTCGGCATCTCTGTATTGCCCTCTAGCCCTTTCTTTCCAGTGACCACGTCCCCCTGGAAACAGTCCGGCGGCAGCCTGGAGGGCAGGCTGCTTGCTGGACGACACGGGATTAGCTGGGCCGAGAACAGAAGTCACGGGGCGACAGGAGGCTGTAACTCACCAGGACAGAGAAGAAAATGCCGCACACGAAGCAGATGACGAACCACTTCAGCCTGGTGTTGAAGCTGAGGGACGAGGCGTCCAGGACCTAAGGAAGGAAGGAAGGGGAATCAGAACGCGCCCTCCAGCTGCCTGGCGCAGTCCGACTTCGCGACTTCGTGCAGCGGGAGGGCAACACCCCCGAGCCTGTCCGTGGAATGTGTTTGCTTGTGCCTCCTGCACGCCACATGAGAAGGCTAAGACCCCCCTCACCCCCCAGGCTGTGAAGGGAGATGTGAGCATGACGTGGGGTGAAGGACGGTCTTGGGGCACCGCTGTTCCCTCTGCCGGTGGGATGACAGGTGTGCCCACGGCACTGTGCTCCTCGTTTCAACAGCCCTCACCTGTAGGACAGCAGACACACAGACGTAGGATACATATCATAAAATACTCAACAACTAAAAAAATCGGGGGAAGATGAAACAAGATCACAAGATCAGCAAAATGTGGGGCACTGCTGAGGCTGGGTCCCGGGCGCAGAGGGCTCACCACGCCACTGTCCCTACCTGAGGCTGTGCAGGAGAGGCCCCCAAGTACAGAGCCTGAGACAGGGGTTCTGATGCTTGAACTGCTCTGGGCACAAACCCTGAGGGAAGTGAGAGGAGCTGATGGGGAAGGGGAGGGATCATGTGGTTTCAGCTGGTGTTTGGCTCGGGCCTGGGCTGTCAACCGCCTCAGTGTGGGTCCCGCCCTGATGCAGGGGGCCGGCCTTCCGGAACCAACCTCCTGCCAGCTGGCCACAGGCTGTCAGCAGAGCGGGGGTGCCTGCAGGATGGCACGGCTGTGGACCTAGGCGGATGCATACACCTGCCTCATGAGGGGGACCTGGGCAGCCACTGGTCGTGTCTGCCACCAGACACATAACTTCCATGTATTATAAAAAGTTCACTTAAAACCAACTCAGGAAAGCCCTAGGTACACCCTCAACATTATTAAAAAAACATATTTTTTAAAATGATCATTTATGCTAGAGCAACAGCATTGTTATATGCAAACTGTAACCAAATTACATGGGCAGAGCGGAAATCACCGGGCACGCCTTCTACAGTAATCCAGACACAGCTGTAGACACACTCAGATTTCTAATTACACTCAGAACTTATTTCCCAATGAAGCTGAAAAAGTATCAGCAATGGTCATTTCAGAAAACTAGAAATACATATTAAGAAGTTCGTATTTAAAAAAAAAAGAAGTTTATATCAAAACTTAATTTCTAACTTATATTACCACAGATACTTAAAAATAAGATCATGTGCTTATAACGTATTTCAAGAATAATGAAGCAAAAACAGAATTTCTTTGCAAAGGCTCAAAAATACCTTTTGCTACATTCCTTACCTCAACCAATTAACCTGGGAATCCTTGCGCAGCATGAAAAGTAGATAAAATCATTAAAGATGGTAAGTACAACAAATATCACTTAATGCATTTTAAATGTTTTTTTAAAATCTGCTTTAACTCACGTTCTCGTTTCCTGCAATGCCACCTATTTAGAGCAAAACTACTGTTCCGTGTTAAACAAAGAACAGACTTGCCTATGAAAATGTCCAAATGTCACGCATTCGGACCAGGAGGAGGGCCCCTGCCGCGTTTCCACTCCACGGAGCAGCATGGACCCCGCGGACCGCTCGCCGCGCAGGAACCCACGGCCGGCGCGCCCAGACCAGCACCTGTGGAAGCCGGACTGGGAACCGGGCAGCGAGGGAGCAGTGACGTGGGAACCAGTTGACAAGTTCACGTCACCCCACCGTTCCCAAGCTCACTGCCGGTTTTCAAGTTCACGCTTCTCTTGGACTGTAGCTGCTCCCCCTTATTACCATCTTCCAAGTGATGATCGCCAAAAGGAAACAAGTTATTTCCATTTGTAAAAACGCAAGATTCAAGCCACAAGCAAATGACTCGCCTTGAGGTTTGCCTGCTGTCCAGGACACGGAAGCAAACCCCAGATTCCCTAGTGCGCGCCGGAACGGAGCCCGAGGAGCCCGGACGGCCCAGCCCTGCCGCAGAAGCATTCGGGTGCGCCTTTCTGGTCCAAGCACCGTCAGGAGTGAGCGCGGCAAAACCAGCAACTGTGCTGACTGCTTAAAGGCCATCCCGGAGAAGAAATACGCATGGACGCAGGCACCAAGGACCATTTGTCATCAGGGCAGAGGCAGCGGGCGCCTGGCTGGCTCCATCCGTTAAGCGTCCGACGTCTGCTTTCGGCTCAGGTCCTGATCTCAGGGTGGTGGGATCGAGCCCCATGCCGGGCTCCGCACTAGCGGGGCGTCTGCTGAGACTCTCTTCCTCTGCCTCGGCCCCTCCCCCTGCTCGCTTGCTCACTCGCTCGCTCTCAAAATAAATAAAAATCTTCAAAAATAATCAGGGGCGCCTGGGTGGCTCAGTTGGTTAAACATCTGCCTTCGGCTCAGGTCGTGACCCCCGGGTCCTGGAATCGAGTCTCGTATTGGATCCCCTGCTTAGCGGGGAGCCTGCTTCTCCCTCTGCCTGCCACTCCCCCTGCTTATGCTCTCTCTCTCAAATAAATAATAAAATCTTAAAGATAATTAAGTAAAACTAATTAGAAAAACTAAACAAAGGAAGAGGAAGCAAAAAGCAAGCCTCTGGTCAGCAGGAGAGACCCTGGCCTTCGCCGCGCCCTCTCCCTGCTGCAGTGAACAGCACTCCCGGGAACCAGCACACGACTGAGGAAAACAATACTAGTTGGAAAACATCTCCGCAGCAGCAGCAGCATTACAGACGAGAGAACGACCCCGCGGCCCGGCGGACACTCGTGTCTCTCCTAGTGACCGAGAAGCCAGGAGAGCCCGGATCTCAAAGCGGCGGCTGTCTCGGTGGAGCCTTGCCCCGCGGCCGCCAGCACCTGGATAACGGGAACGCGGTGGGCCTTCAGCTACCGAACACCACGACCGCGGTACTCCCCCAAGTCCTCGCTCAACAGGACGGCGGCGCCCAGAGAGGTAATGACCAGCGACCACGAGCTCCAGGAGCAGGTGCGCACAGACGCTCTCCAGTGGGATCGTCGCCCCACCACCTCCGGAGCCCGGCTCCTGACTCGGTCTCCTCTGTGACCCGCAGGCCCTCCTCCCTCCCGTCCCCTCCTGCTCTCCCTGTCACGCGCTCTCACTTGCGACCTCCGAAGACAGGTCCTACCCCGGATCCTGGCAGAGTCTTGGATGATTGCAACACCCACATGGACAGCCCGGCCCTTCTGCTCTCGTCCCTCGTCTCCACGGGCTCTGCCCTCCACCCCTCTCAGTGACCCAGGCCACTCGTACTCCCTGAAACCAGTCCATGCCCAAACTTCAAGCTGCGCTCTTGGGCCTTGATGTCCCCCTGGGGGCACGCGGATCCAACGGCTCGTGCCTGGACTGCCCTGCAGCCTCGGGGTCCCCACATCCAGGCCACTGGTCCTTCTCCTCTCCTTTCTGCTGCATCCACCTGGCACAACGCCACGACTCAAGCCCACGTCCTCTTCCTCTGGCCAGTCAGGTGGCAGGACGGAGGATCATAACCAGGTCATCGCCACCTTCCCACAGGCCCTGACGACGCCTGCCGGGCAACCCGCCGCGGGGGACTGACGGACGCCAGCAGACACCCCGCCTTCTCCCTCCACAGCCCATGGGCTATTTCAAACCTCCGGGCGTGGCCCTGACAGTCTCTGTGCAGGCAGCGTCCCCTCCTCCACACCGAAAACACAGACCCTTGATGTGGCCACGTCCACTGCTCGCTTCCAGCAAACCTCCGAGCCCCACACAAGCCCCTCTTCCCTTCCTTCCCGCGCATGTCCGCAGAGGGGCTGAGCTCAGTGCGCCCTAGAGCCCAGCCCCCCGACCTTCTCAGGGAACACGCAGTATCCCCTACTCCCCTGTGTCGAGAGTGACCCCCGTTCTCTCCCTGAGATCGCTCCCACCAACCTGTCCACGTGATTACGCCTCTTCCAGCTTAAAGAAAAAGCTCACTTGATTTCAGCCTCGGGCCTCCGCTCACTCATCCGCTCAGCAGATACTGCAGTGCTCCTGGGGCGTGTCCTCGGGGCTGAGTCGTCCGGCCCTCTGCGCGCCCTCCTCCCTGACTCAGGCTCCATCAACCTGCCCGAGCCTTGGGTTTGGGGCTCCCCCGACAGGGAGCGTACCGCCAACTGGGGCCCAGAGCCCAGGGGAAAACGGCACAGAGGGAAGCCAGCCCTCCCTCGCGTCCAGCCTCTTGCTCCTGCGGCCACAGAGAGCAGTCCGGGGCACAGCCGGCCCTGTCATTTTGGCCTACTGCTTTTCTTCTCTTAAGATTTTATTTACTTCCTTAATTGAGAGGAAGCGAGACAGCACGAGCGCGCACACAAGCAGGGGAAGGGCAGAGGGAAAAATCACAGGCAGACGCCCTGCGGAGCAGGGAGCCCAACACGGGGCTTGAACCCAACATCCAGGACCCTAACCTGAGCCTAAGTCAGACGCTTAACGGACAGAGCCACCCGGGCGCCCCAGTCCGTCGCTTTAATCGGCTGCTCTGACCCGGACTGCCCGGCAGCTGAGTGGGACGCTGGTGACACAGCTGCGAACATGGTAAGGCGGCTGTCCTCACACCTGTGAACGCCCAATTCTAGCACCTCAGGGGCCATGTGTGCGCAGGGAGGACTTCAGCAGGTCCGAGGGTGGAGGGCAGGGCGGGAGGGGCTCCCGAAGCTGGATCTGGAGGCTTGCTAAAGGCTTCTGGGGAGGTGCCTCGAAGAGACAGCAGACAGCAGTGGGGACATCAGAGGGACAGTGCCCTCTCCTCCTGATGACACCAATCTCCCCCCAGGTCCCTGGGTTCCTCTCACACTCCAGAAACCGCCTGGTCACCCTTGTCGGATCCCGGCGAGAAAGAGCCCACCCAGGTTAAGGCCCAGTAGGCAAACCTTGGGAGCCAGGTTGGGGCAGCCCAGAAAACAGAAATGGCTAAGGCCAAGGCAGCTGAGCAGAGCGTGGTTGTCCTGGGGGACGGGTTGAGGGACGGGGGAGGCATGCAGAGGGCTGAGGTGCCTTGAGCAGAGTCTGGACCTTTTACCAAGGGCTACAGGAAGCCGCGTGACTGATCTAGATCCTTCCAGACATCTCACAAGGAGAGACCCTACAACTCGCTGTTCTGCCTCTTCCCTGACCGCCAAGTCCCCACAGCAGGACGGAGCAGTCCCAGATCTCAGATGCATCTGGCCACCACCGTCTCCCACCTCCCCGGCTGCCCTGAGCCAATCCCATCCAGTCCTCCAAACCCCACCCCATGTGCGTCCTGCCACACTCGTAGGATGTCACTCTGAACACCATCAGCAAGCTCCCTACACCCTCACCCTCTGCCCTGACAGGTCCCCGCCTCCCGCTCTCTGCACTCCGGTCTCCCCTGCACTCTCCGAGTGGGGCCTATCTTCTCAGGCCCAAGCATCCTGACCGCTGGGGACAGGAAGTGGCCTAGGTGAACGCCCCCCTCACTGCTGTTTCCCAGAAATAGCTGCCTCCAGGACCCTGCCATCACACCAGGCCACCTGCGGCTCCCCCTCCCTGCTCCACCATCCCCTAGGTCACCGCCTTCACTGCCCCCCTCCCATATCACACCTCTTGCTCTTCGAAGGGTTTTGCGTCCGGCTCACTATCATCCCCCCACTCCCGTCTTAACTGTTGGTCATTTCGCCCCTGGAGGAAGAAGCCGCCTAAACGACGAGACTCCTGGTTCCTCACCCTCTGTCCTCCAGTGATCTCCGCGCCTTACACCAACCGCCAAGCCCCTCATCTACAGGAAGACACGTGCCATCATCTCAACACCCTCCATGATCAGTTTCACGCATCCCCCTTTCCGACCACCACCTCCTACCCTCCAGCATGCCTAGTTACCGACCCCACCGACGTCACCACACACTCACTCCCCCCCGCACCCCTGCTGCCCTCCTATCGTCACTCCTGCATACATCCTCAACTTCTTTGCCCTCTGCCCCCTCAGCGGTCACCGGGCAGCGTCCAAACCCGGGTTAAATCCAACTCTGCCAGCCCTGCCCCGCACTCCTGCTGCCCAGCACGACCCCCACCTCAAGGCCCGGACCACTACCCACACGTGGGGCTTCGTGCTGCCAACAGCCCCACTGCTGCTCCCTGTCCGTTCATCCATCTGCCTATTCTCTCCAGCAACCTTCGCACCTTCTCCCTGAACTGCAACGTCACCCCCACCCCAACTTCCAACTGGCAACTTCGCGTCCCATTTCAGTGAGGACAGAATCCTCTCGTGCTCCAAGGGCAGCATCTGCAGCCACGTGCTCTCGCCCCTCTCCTCCCACCGGTCCACAGGCGCTGGCCATCCACCTGCCCAAG